ATCTTACCTACAAAGCAGTTCAAAGGATAAGTTTGAGAAGAATGTGACGGTCATTCTGAAGAGCATACCAATACATATTAAGAATATTCCAAGGGAATTTCATAGAGAAAAATTGAGACAAAATTATGCCGATTCTTGGAAATTATTACCAGTCTGAGGGAACTGTGGAATGAGAGAGCGATTTATAAGAGATTACAAGAGATAATGCCAAGTACTCATAGAATGTTGCTGAAATGGTTTGGATACTATCAAGATTACTTTAGGGGAATCCAGAAAAGACGTATGATGAAATTCTAGGATGATTCAAACTGAACTCTGAAAAAAGGACGAAGATATTCTGTGAAGAGCTCCAAGTAAATTCAGACTAACTAAAAATTTAATGATCTGAGACCCAGGAAATATAAATTCCAGAATTTAGAACCATTTCAGGATCCTGAGACTTCAAAAATGACGCTTTCAGAATTTAAATTTAGTTATGTAATAAAATTATTCTTTGGCATAATTATCTGTAATGGTCATGTAACATGTGGAGTTACCCGTAGTTTAGGTAAACTGTGTGTGAGTACCACGATGTTAGGCTTTTATTCTCACTTCAGTCAGGAGAATTTTAGTTTAGAATAAAATTGCCTACTGGTCTACCGGGTGTTGTGATTTGTATGACTTCAAGATTAGAATTATTTGGAACTAAACAAAAATCTTTAAGACATATTCTGGTACAACATCAAATAGTAAGGATTAAATCGCTTAGCTTGGCTTAAAAAAATCATCCCATCAAAGTTGCTTGATTCTTTGCTGCTTCAGAATCCTAAAAACATTTTCTGCAGTTTAACTCAATTTTGAAATGCTGCGTAATGGATATTTAAACTTTATGCGTACACTGTGTCAATACTTTTCTTAACTTTGGCATGATTTAAGCAATACTAACAAGTTTGCTTTATATAATTTCATATTTTTTTAAAACTTGGAATTCATAAACATTCTGGTACTTTGAATAAATTCCAGATGATCATACTGAGCGATTTTTACGGGAGATCGGCGGATCACTTTGATTTAAATAGCATTATGTTACAAACAAGATTTTTTGGAGCATTCCAGATTTTTCCAGATTTTATATTTTGACAGGTCCAGATTTTTCTGTAAATGACCTTTCAACGCTGCTTGTCAGTATAGTAGCAGCAATCAAATCAAATCAGTAACATCCAAATAGAATAATCGACAAGAGAAGGTGAGGTGGTTCCAGCCACAAGGCGTCATAACGTCCTCCCGCAGCTCATGCTCCGGGACACAAATTAGAACTGGTTCCTGAACGAGGACGTCAACTAGGCTGGAACTGCCAAGAACAAAGCTTGCAGTACCCTGGAAGCATTCACATCGATAGGCAGTCGATGAATCGTACTTCAGTTTACGGATCCAACGAAGGTCATTCCCTAGCATCGAGTGCTAATTGAAGCTGCACTCTCGCCACAGATTGGAGCAGCACAGGTGATAAGCAGAATACCACCCGCATCGGAGGGACTGATGAATCCAGAGAAAAAGCAGATTTTGATGAATCAAGGCTTTCAAAACCAGTAAATGCATCTTTTAGACCACCTGTAACGGAAGAATGTTGGAACAACAAACCAACAAAGAGCCGAGGTATCTTGCGGAAGAAGGAAAACTATGACAACAATTTCAACAATCAACAGTATCTGTAACGGAGTACGTGGCTGCCAAGAATAAGAAGAAACAGTTTTTTTTTTAACTAGTTCGTGTATTTGAAAGGCTCAATCGCGTTAGCTTTACGGAGCCTTTTGTTCATTGTTCTTTGTTTGTAACAAAATTAGTAGGAGTTGGGCCGAATACTCGCGGCTTACCCGAGGTTAGAGAGGTACATTGTCGAAGGATACACGGAGATGAAAAACTACCCAAAATTAAGTACTTTTGCCTCAATTCCGGGGTTCAGCCCAATAACCCAAATTTGAGTAAATCGCATATAGTAGTTTCTATTTAACACCAGCAAAAAAATTACCTACTCTTAAGTATATTCTACCCAAAATTAAGTTTAATTCACGTAAATTTGAGAATATGCAATTTACTCATAAGTAACTTATTGGGCTGAACTATATCGTTGGGTCGAATCTTTCGTTCCTTTTTTGACAACAATAACTACTTTGACTATATGTTTTTAGTATTACTTCTACGTGAAGTCAACGATTTACATAGTTGAAGATGCTAATTTCAAATAAGGGGCTGTTCATAAACTACGTAGACAGTTTAGGGGGGGGGGGTTGACAATTATCCAAGGCCCATACAAATTTTAAAAATTTTGTATGGACAATTGTCCACGCAGGGGGACGGGGGGGGGGGGGGGGGTCAAGAATCCCAACTACGTAGTTTATGAACAGCCCCTAACAGACTGTAGTGGTAATTTTTATACGATAGATGGAGTAGATGAAAACATAGAGTTGATAGTTCCGATAGTACCTTCCTTAAAAGTTGTCCTAGTTCGCTATTCTAATATCTATATACAATCTTCACACTGCCGTACTCTAACGGAACTATCAACTCTATGTTTTCATCTACTCCATCTATCGTATAAAAATTACCACTACAGTCTGTTATTTGAAATTAGCATCTTCAACTATACAAAACAATAACTAGTTCAAGTGAGAGGCTGAAGTCAATATTAAGCAAAAAGAACTCAAATTTTGGGTAGTATTTTTTCTCCGTGTAGGATCAGGGGAAGAGCGGGGGGGGGGGGTAAGATTTCGTTGTCTCATCCGGGAAACAGGGTTTGTTGAAAGGAGGTATATTTACGTATGTTTACGTCAACTTAGGAAAGTCCCACTGTCAGGAGCATGAATCGAGCAGTTACGAAGTGCTCAAGAAAAACCGAGCTATTCTTTTCGAGGTGCTCGGACCCGAATCAGTTCCCGTTTCAATGTGTAAAGTCTCTGAAGACTATAACAGGAGCATTCCATCCAAATAAGCTATTAGTCTTGTGGCCATTCAGTCTTAAGTTATCCGTGCTGTAAACATCCTAATTATAAATAAACGTACTTGAAAACTAACCAAAATTAAGTGTTCTGTATCCCGTGTTCCGTCGAATAAAACATTGTTCAACAGTGTAACTAGTCCGTGTTTTCAGTTACTGTACCCGAGCCACGAAACACTGGAAGAGTCCAATTTGTTTGTATCCGTGTTCCGAACTGCAATCGTCCTCACCTGACCAGATTCACGGCACCGGTTCAACAGACGTTTGAATGTGCGTTGACATTTGGTTTCGTAACCAAATTTACTTAATTCTTGGTCTAGTAGGAGTTGGGCCGATTACTCGGGACTTACCCGATATTCGAGGGGTACATTGTCGAGGGATAGGATAGCTTGGAGTGCTAACAGTTGCTAATATTTTGTCAGAAATATAAGACTAATAAACATTTCTACCTCATAATAATCAAGCAGTTAATAATTTTAAATTTTATCAGCAGATATAAGTATCAATTGAGGAGGTTAGAAGGAAAGGGGTGTAAGTGACTTTGATCGATTCTCTTCATCGATTTTCGCTTTCGTTAATAATTCAGCTGCAAATACATTCCTTGGTTCGTGTACTGACTAGATGAGAACCTCCTCGCAAAATCTGTTTCTAAAGCTGTGACTATCAAAAGAGAACGTCGATGAAGAGAATCGATCAGTCACTTACACCCCTTTCCTTCTAACCTCCTCAATTAAAAAACGTGGAATTTATATCAACCCGATAAAATTGCATAATATTGACTATATGTACGTTTCTTCATTCTCATTCAAAATTCACGTACACATTACGTGAAAAGCATTTTAAACAAAACGGAATATAATATAAAAATTACCTATTTTCCAGTAGTTTTCACCCTAATTTCACGTAAGCAGTACTAGAAATACTCAGAGGGAGAGATGGGCGGAGAGAATGTTTTTTAGCCAAGCTGTCAAAATCTGAGCCATTCGAGGATTTCTTATTCTTACTGGATTAAATTTGAGAGTATTGCAATCGAACAGAAATTCAATCACCTTTATGTTTCGTGTGTTTCCAAATTCAACTAGTTTTTGGAATCAAAAACAATATTCTAACTCTATTGTTTAACTGATCTTAGTTGATTAATTAATGCCACTAAGAAATGTGCGAAATTTTGCGATGCACTCAATTATTATTTTGCACGTAAATTAAATCAAAAATAAAACATGTGAAATGCTAGCTTCTAGCAAGGGCTGCAAGATATCTTAGGTACAAATCCCTGCTGCCGAATTGTATTTTGTTTTCTCCGCCCATCTCTCCCTCTGAAAGCAGTACGTGGGAATCAGGTTACGTGAAAAATACGATGAACGAAAATCACCTACGTTTTCACGTAAACCGGACGTGACGATTTTTCAGAGTGTACATCATCTGAAAGAGCCCATAGACTTTCATCTCGATTTTAACTCAAGATTTAAGGCAAAATAATAACTTCGCTTTTTGACACTAAACGAACAGCTTTGACAGCTCGGTTTCATATAAAATTCCACCAAAGGGCGATGATGACTTTTGCTAATGTAATCGCACTTATTTAAAATAGTTCTAGTGCACCAGATTTGATGAAATTTTGGATTTCAACTCCATTTTATTGCAAATTACGAATATGCATTTACCTCAATACCCCTAAAGAACCCATTTCAATGTTTATACCAAATTTAGTTCAAAATTTCACGAGACAGATTAGACGCGACGCTTAAAAGTTACATTTTTATTCCTGTTACAACGAGAAAATTTAGAGGTCATTAAGGGTACAATTCGTTAAGCCGATGCCCATAGTGAGAGCGAAGAGGCGAGCATAGCGAAGAAACGAACACTTCGGTCGCCTCTTCGCTTCGCTTCGCTTCGCTCTCACTATGAAATCGGCCTTAGAAAAAACCAAGCTATATTCTGAATTTCCGATGCATTCGAACAGTTATCTTTGGTAGGATTCCCAAGAGACTGAATTACTCATTTTGCATTCTCCTCTATTCCACAGCAAGCTACTGGCCCAAATCGAACGGGAAGAAACGCACCTCCTCCTGCTGCGGGTGATGGTCGGCCTGGTGATACTGTACGACCACGTCCATCCGGTGGGCGCCTTCGCTCGGGGGGCCCACGTCGACGTGAAAGGATGCGTCCGGTTACTGCAAGCCCAGCCCGCCGTCAAAGCCGAACCCCTGCTCAACGCCCTGCGGTACACCACCAAACATCTGAACGAGGAAAACACGCCCAAGAACATCCGGAACCTGCTGGCGGCATAGAGGTAAGGTTAGGTTTATTATTTTTTTAGTTTGTGACCTCTTTTTCGTGGTTCTTGTTTTCTCTATCGCGAAATAATTTTTTTTTTTTCGTTTCGTGTATAAGGTTTTGTTTATGTGTTTGTTTGTTTTTAGACGATTAACTAACTTAAATCGAATTAAAAATCGTAATATTATTTAGGAAAAAGTTATAAAAAAAAAACTGTAATTTAAATATAAACAATTGATGATAATCGGTTAAGTGCATGAGACGTAACAAGAATAATGTTTATCTAGTTAAAATATAATTTAAAAAGTAAAGTAAAAACATGAAATGAATCAAAACAAACCGGAGCATTGCATCTGAGTAGTAGAGATTGTGATGAACCTAGAAGAAATATTTTTCTTCCCTTGTTTTCGTAGGTAAGAGAATTTCTCTAAATCTATTGATATGAATCATATGAAGTATATTCGTTGCAAAAATTTAAAAAAAAATGTAAAGTAAAAAAACAATAAACTGACATTTCAGTCCGATGATAAACATTAGCACACTGAAATGAATAGTAAACCTAAAAACTTGACATGTCAACTATGAATATGAGAGCAAGTAAAATTATATCATCAATTTTTTCATCACGACTGTTATTTCCTAAATCTGAATAATCAAATTAAATTTCTTATTACAAATCGAACGATTCATTGTTGTATAGAACAAATATTTTGAGATTATTGAAGTGGGACGCACACTCTTAGGTTTTTTGTGTCGGATAACCAAAAAGAGCAAGCAAAGAAGTATAACAGTGTCTAGGACCTAACAAAATTAGTAATCTGTTTTCGGTAAAAGTAACACAAACTGCTACTAGGCTAAAATAAAGGAACGGGAAATCGAAAACCAAAACCAAAAAATAAAAAAAAAACTGCACGGAAAAATATAACAACCAAAATGTGTTCCTTTTTACACGACGAATATTGGGACAAACTACTTTTTTGCAGTCACATCAACGAAGCAAACGAATGTGTAATTATCGGAACTGTTTTTTTTTTTCATCGCGTCACAACCAACCAACAAATCAAACGAACAATAGGAAAGCAGTGAGTTAGTTGACTTGCTTTGTTTATTAAAGATAATTTCTAGCAATTACTAGCAACCAGTGATACATCGCGACATCGTACTACTTGTTTAGTGAGCAAAGTCGTAGGAAACAGAGAAATTTATCCGATAAATATTGTATTTAAACAAAACAAAAAATGCCGAGCAAAGGTTAACAGGAATGCATTTCGGATTGTGATGGAAATGGCAGGAGATGAGTGCAGATTATATATCAGAAACCTATAACCTAAAAAACCGAAGAGAAATCAGTGTGAGTAAAATCCAACCGATCCCAATTACGAAGAATGCACACTAAGTAAAAAGCTAAATACACTGCTATTACGATTACACACACCCACACACTATTATTACAGAGACGGTTATTATGATTACAAATTATTATTACGAGAGTAGCACTAAGAACTACAACTACAACATCAACAACAAAACCACAAAACCACAGAAGTATAATGCTTATTTGTGTAAAACTCAACTCTTAAGTTTGAACTGAACTTTTGAAGGCATACGCGAGAAAGCGAGAGAAAGAGATGGATGGTCAAGGAGATACCAAAGTCGAGAATAAAATTCAAACAAGTGATGGAAGATAAAACCAAGGGGCGAGTCCTGCCTAAGCAATGTCGACCTCGTTTGAAGAATTTCCCCAAACCCAACTCAGGTGGGCAGGTTTGGCTTTTTGCGAAGCTCTTTCAAATCGACAGTGAGCGTTCATAAGGGCGTAATCGCAGCGATCGATTCCCTTCGTCGGTTTTCTCCTTTTGTTAATAACTCGTGAATAATTAGGCCCTTATGAACGCTCAGTTCTCACTGTCGAAATAGTAACGTTCACTCCTGATTGTTGATGGCAAATCTCCGACAGTCCAAAGTATGCTTTCACGCACACTTGTCACATCAGCACTCGCTTTATTCAAGGGGCAAGTTTAAACAGATATCGTATCTTGAAGCGGAAGTGATTCTTCATTGTGATTATTTTTGAGTGGCATTGTGCACTAGCGCAAACTACCTACTGAATTAAAAATCACGGTGGCCATTGAACCGGGAAAACCGGGAATTTGATTGGAGCCTTAAAATATATGCTTGATACCGTAAACTGCCGCTATTCGTATAACAGTCCCATGTCCTATGGATTTCCTATCTACATAGGACTGTTATGCGAATAGCGGCAGTAAAGCGGGAGGAAGTTGATCACTCTTTACCGATAAACCTAATTCAGTGCCATTTCAAAGGGGCGTTTTAAAAGATTCTGGCACCCTGGATACATTATTTATAAACATGTTGTATTTTTATACAAATTCATAAAATCAATTACGTAACGTTGATTTTATGAATTTGTATAAAAATACAACATGTTTATAAATAATGTATCCAGGGTGCCAGAATCTTTTAAAACTCTAGGGATTGTCTTCAAGTTTCCAGTTTTTTCTAGTCGAATTAAAATTAAGTTAGTTTTAAGTCTTACAATCCTCGACACGACCATAGAGGTAACTCTAAGACTAGAGGGTCCCGAAGAAACGTGCTTAACTTTTTGGCTCAGCTCTGGTACTATCTTCGGTCCCAAGCTAATCGATGCACCCCCCAAAACAAACATTGTGTAGTACTAGAATTTCGACTAGAATGGGGTACGTTAATCGTTTGCTTGGGACCAATAGGCTAGTCAAGTAGTGAGCCAATTTAAAATCGTTAGTTTCCACCGGTTGACACGACTAAAGTCATTGTTTACAAGTGCAATTACGCCCCTTTGAAATATTGGTACTGAAATGTTTTTCCAACTAGGGTAAATGTCGGCTTCGGCACCAATTGACTGTTTTCGGCAACAAAAATTTAAACGTTAATTTCTTTCTATTCCCTTCAAAACACATCGCTGAAAGACTTCACACGATTCCTTACCCAAGTAACCATAGGCATGTTATTTCGCCTTTTTGACTATATACGGGCCTCATCAGAGCTTACAAACACTGCTATAACCGTTGTTCAGCTGTATATAGCCAAAAAGGTGAAATAACGTGCCTATGGTTACTTGGGTAGTCTTTCAGCTTCAATATGATTACATTTATACCACTGAGCAATCCTTTTATGCCAGATTTTCTTTTAAATTAAATATATGCTCTAAAAAATGCGACTGATTTCGAGTTTCCGATAATACAACAGCTGATTAATACGCAGTTCAAATGGAAAGGTTGCCGAAGAAAAAGAAGTTGCCAACAATAGTCACACTCAGGGAGGGAGAAGCAGACTCGGAAAATATGAACGTCAAAAGGAGCCAGAATCAAGCTGTCACCAACTGTCATTGGAAGCCATGCATGCATTTTGATGATGCTTTTCTTACAGATGAACAAGAATACACAAGGCAGTATTGAAATCTTACGTAAAGTAATTTAATAATTTACTGTCTTTTCTAGCTATCTAATTCAATGGGATACCTTTTTTATAATTCATTTATTGAATATACTCTAATCAAAATAGAAAGATACCACTATCCAAGGTTTTTGCAGAAAATATGTAGTGGCTTAATAATATACAAAACAGAAAAGCACATTTTTTCCCTGTACACTGAACAATCTCAAATAATCATTACACCTCGCATTACACCTTAAAGCAAAACAGTATATTTTGCTACGCCTATTTTGATTTGATTTCAATGGTAAAAATTTCATGACAAGAAGAACAGCTATAACATGAATTCCGTGTGTGCTATGAGGCGTCGCGTGCCTCATTTGTTTACCTGTGCACCAAACTTTGTTTGTTGTAGTTTATCACCACATAATAGTTTTTGTTTTTTTTTTCAATGCAACATGAATTCGAGGGACATATTCTCAATTACTATATTAATCAATACCTAACGTAACATTTGAAGGGCCTATCATCTTGTGTAAACAAAACTTGTATGGCCCTTTTCGCGCTAACCGAAGTAGGAGGAATTGCAAAACTTAACTAATTGTCGTTTTTATCACAAGGCTAACGCTTCCGACTAAAGTCCGGCACAAGGCTTACTCTTCCGACACACACACACACACACATCATAATTACACTTCAGTGAAGTGTAATGAAGAATATCCGTAAAACACTTCCGAAAACATTTTTTGATACAAAATAGTGTCAAACTCTAAATAAAATTCATGAAGTGTCCTGGCTAACAAACTTGAATTAATCAACTCTTTATTCATCAGAACAACACTATAAGAATGAACAAGGAAGCTCATAAGTTTTCAAAGACGCACCGGTGCAACCATCGATAATTGAGAGATTTACAACTGACAAGAGAGTGATAGCGAGCTTTTGCGCTCTCTTTCTCCATTACTCTCTTTGCCTGCAATCAGATATCAAAGCGCACAATGAGAAATGCACGCTTTAGGCACCCATGCATCACAAATTTAGACCAACAATTGAAATAGGCGGAACAACCAAACGTAAACAATGGCTTTAAGCGCAAATTCCTCGAGAATCAAAACACTCCCACGCAAACTAACCATGCCATTCAATAGAGGAAGTTTGCTCTATCAGATGGTGGTGTTAGATTGCTTCGATGTGTTTTGATTATCGAGGAATTTGCGTTTAAAGCCATTGTTTACGTTTGGTTGTTCTGCCTATTTCAATTGTTGGTCTAGAAATGTTCTTCTAATTTAAACTCACACACTCAAATCGGTCCACAAGTATAATACACGTCCAAAGCGTCCCAGTTGACAAATTTCTCTACTTCCTTGGGCATAGAATGGTACAGGCATAGAAAGCTCTCAAATCAATGTGAAGGTACTTCAAAGAACACTAAGTTCAGAGCAGGCAAAATCTAATATACTATATGCAATAAGCTTGAAATGCCATGTAGTAGTATACAAATGGTATTTTTAGGTAATGAAAACATTTTTTTTTGTCGCGGATTAATATTTGAAGTCGCGGATTTCTTTTGAGAAATCGCGGATTTCGCGGATCAAATTTAGAAAATATTGTAACAGCCCTGCAACTGGCAACTAGGCTTTTCATGTATTGTCTGTTTATTTTGATTATTGCTTTAAAATATCAATTTGGTATATATGTGAAAGGGAGATGGATTTTCGGTTTCTTTACATTTAGCATCACTATGTGTAATTTCCTCAAAACCCCCCAATAACCGGCCTCTTCATTCCCTTCCTTTTCCCATGGCGTTCAAGTGGTCCGCATAGACTATTCAGCCATTACCCGTCCTTTATCCTCGGGTTTGGATTGACTTGCGCTCCCATTGCCCCACCAAACGCTGCAAAATGAAAATGAAAATGAAATTAGAGGAATTCATTAAATGTCATTTTAAGTTCCATGACAAAAACAGTTTATTTCAATATTAAATATTTTTTGAGTTTCTGATTCATCATATAAATGTAACTATTGGTTACTTATTTATTATTTAAAAGTCACTATTTGGTCACTATTTCCGTAATTTTAGTCACTAAAGTCACTACTATTATATCGCATCAGCGCTACCAGCCCTGAAATTTTCAATTGACCACTTTGTCAAGCAGTTTTGACGTGACTTTCTACCAGCGATTTCACAAAACTGGACCAACTAATTTCAATTTTTTTGTGAAACGCACACATGTTGGCTACTTTTCTCGAGGTTCTAGAAGAAAAAAATCTAAAAATAATGTTTTATTTCAAAGTTCGAGTGGTAGTAAACGTCATTTTAACTGCTCGAATGAAGTGGTTAATAGATCCGAAAAAATCCACCTTGCAAATTAGTGATATCACAATACGATGACAACGATTTTCTAATCACTGAAAGCCTGCGGATGATGTCTTCCGAAACCCGGCATAACTAATATATTTGTATTTATGTGGATAGCAGTAATAAATATATTTGTAGTTCTATTTCTAATTTATGAAACATTTTTTATTATAGATTGAATTATTAGGGGAATGTAATGTCGGCCTAAATACCCATAATTTCTGCCCATACATAAATTCACCAAGACTAAATTTTCAATAGTGACCAAAAATATCCATTAGTACCGTCCCAATGACGCGTACATCTAGATAAAATTGATAGCCGATTTTTAGCGAGGAGCCCAAATTTAGATCCATAGGCCATAATTAGAGCCATTTCCCCTATTTATTAGAATTTAAAATGAAAATCAATATTGTAATGTTGAAAATGCTTGTATTTAAATTGAAAATATTTTTGTTATAGATTCAAAACGGCACATGTTATTACAAATTTACCAAACTTTCATGACAAAAGTTTGATTTAATACAAAAATAATCCACTTTTAATTACACAGCAAAAAAAAATGTAATTCAAGCTGATGTATGAAATAATGATGTAATAGCAAAAAGCAGATACAATATTACATCAATGGATGTAATTTTGTTCGCAAAATCGATGTACTCGTACAACGTTATATTACACAACCGATGGATTGACCTGGTTGCAGCAGTTTGGATGTAATATTCAACAACTTTTTTTTTTCTGTGTAGCTGACTTTCGTTTTGAATGCTAAAGACTTTCTAGTTCTACCAAAAAGAACCGATGCAAACTTTTATTCTACCAATGATTTTTAAATTTCATTAATCATAATTTGTGTGTGTAGCGATGGCTATACATACTTCCACCTCGTTTGTCTGCTCAGAGCAGCAAATGACGTTCGATAGAATTATTTACATAATCGTTTTGAATGATTTGCTAAGGGGCTGAGTCAATACCAAATGCATTTCAGTTTGAGATGACTATCATTCTGCACAGAGCATTATGCATTCCAACTGAAGGCCCTATCCCTTCTCATAACAATGTTCATCCTGTGTTCGAGAGAAAAATCATCAGATTCCCCCAACCACCCGTCATTTGGTTGCAGCTATCATTCGAAAAGGCGATTTCGATGTTTCGATTTGAATGGTCTTAGGTTTCATTCGAACATAGGACGGTGGTTTGGTACAGTGAAGAGAAAAACAGTGAAACTCGCATCAAGTTTTGTTCGCAATAGCTGATCTGCTCTTTTCTGTTGTTGGTCGTGATTTGCTAGATTGGTTCCGCTATTTGACAGCTCAATTGGTTCCCGAGATTATATCCGCCAGACTATGAATACAGCGACTATAGTGTGACCTGGAAGGGAGAAGCAGATCGCAGTGGCGTCGCGTCCACATGTGCAACCTGTGCACGACACAGGTGTAAATAATTTAAAAAAAAAATGCGTTTAGATTTTTATAGATTTTATGGTCACATTATAGCTGTACCAACAATCAATACGAAACTAACGATTTTAAATTGGCTCACTACTTGACTAGCCTATTGGTCCCAAGCAAATCGATTTACGTATCCCATTCTGCTCGACATTCTAGTACTGCACTATGTTTGTTTTGATTCGCTATGAAAGTTTGACAGATAAAATGAGGGGTTAGTGGATTTTCCTATGTTTCGAGGGGTGAATCGATTAGCTTGGGACCGAAGATAGTACCAGAGCTGAGCCAAAAAGTTGAGCACGTTTCTTCTGGACCTTCTGGTCTTAGAGTTACCTCTATGGCTGTACTTCTTTACTTAAGACCACAAGTGACCATCAATACACAATTTTATAGTGTGGTTCAATTAAATCTTCGACCTTGGTTTGCTTCAAAAAGGATTAAATTCAGTTCAATCGATATCACTACCATGACAAAACTCGTTAAATAGTGTACCTAAAAGCGAGCTTTTTTGGGTGGCGGGTGACAAGTTTGTGAATGGTAAAATCATAGAGGTAACTCTAAGACTAGAAGGTCCCGAAATAACGTGCTCAACTTTTTGGCTCAGCTCTGGTACTCTCTTCGGTCCCAAGCTAATCGATTCACCCCTCGAAACATAAGAAAAACCAATAACCCCTCATTTTATCTGTCAAACTTTCATAGCGAATCAAAACAAACAGTGCGTAGTACTAGAATTTCGACTAGAATGGGGTACGTTAATCGTTTATTTTCTTGAAAGTTAACCTTTGCGTCTCTGACGTATTTTGCTGTCCTAAATGTTGTAGTTAATTTGGCACTAGTTTTCTCAATTTATGACCGATTCAAACCAAACACCCTGCACATAATCGAGAAATTACCAGAGTTTCATAAGTCACACTTGTTGGTCACGTCGCGGTTCTGTATTTACACAGGTATTCCTTGGGGTCTGTCCAATGGTGAGACATTGTATTTTCGTTGGCAAATCATAACCGAACCATATATATGTGACTTTGTGGATCATGCACGACTTATTACTATGTGTACTGGAAATTATAGGTTTTACAAATTTGATTTTTTCTACTAGATCAACCAAAACTGCAATAATGGCTGTAGTATCGAAACATGTCCAATCAGTTTCAAAGTGTCTATGTGGATCATGCATGATCTATTTCCGAGTAATCCACATGTAAATTCTTCAAATCGTCCTGGAGTTTAGATAATTTGATCTACTAGATCAACCGAGATTGGGACAATGTCTTTAATATCGAAATATTTCCAGACATATGCACAGTGTCTATGTGAATCATGCATAAACTATTGCCATGTATACCAGATGTTTTAAGTTCTCCAAATCGTTCTGGAGTTCAGATGATTTATTCTACTAGATCAACCATGACTGGGATACAGTCTGTAGTATCGAATTATGTCCAAACAGATTCGTAGTGGCTATATGGATAATGTTTAATTATTTCCACGTATACCAGATGATCTATGATCTGTAGTATCGAAATATCGATATGAAAATCCTTAGGAAATATTTGGCATACACGAATATAGGTTGGCATGATCCACATAGACACTGCAAATTTATTTGGACATATTTCGATACTACAGGTATACAAAAATAATATTCGGGAAATTCTTTGCAGACCAATGGACAACATTCTTGAAAATAGATTATTTTCGCAGTTGGAGATGCTGAACGTGGACATTTTAATAAAGTATAGAGTTGATAGTTCCATTGTACTACGGCAGTGTGAAAATTGTACATAGAAAGTAAAAAAGCGAACTTCAAACAATCTTGAGGAAGGTACGAATCGGGTTGAGCATCCCTTTTACCAAACTCATCCGTTGATCAGGGATAGTGAGGGGTGTTTCACCCCGCCACACTGGCAAAAGGGATGATCGCCGATTTGCTCATGTACCTCCGATGTGCGGAAACAGTTCTATCAATTGTTTCACACTCAAATCGCCATCTGACTTAAGCATCTACCTGATTGCTATACCTGATTCGTAAATTCCTAAAAAATGTCCTTTGCTCGCTTTCTACTCCTACTTTCTATATACAATTTTCACACTACCGGACTCAACTCTATACTTTCATCTCCTCATCTATCGTATAAAATGGTCACTTTAAGTCTAATATTTAACGTTAAGCGTCTCCAACTATTTAAATCGATAACTTCATGCAAAAATATATAAATCATAATTAGTTAGAGTAGATTATATTTGATTTTTTAATTATTATTCCAAGATTTCTTCCCATAAATCCATTTTAAATTTACTTGAATTGTCCTCAGAATTTCCATGAAATTAACATCAGAAATATCACAAATTTCTGCTTTGAATCACCCATTTTTTATTGCTGGAATCCAGCAATATTTTGCTGGATTTTGCCGAGCTGGAAGTTCAGCAATCCATCCAGCAAAATACTGTTTGCTGGACGACCAGCTAGTAGGCCCAAAGTCAAACTGACAGCACTTTGCTGTAAAACCAGAAATGTATACTAATTATCCAGCATAGCGTAATGCCAATCATTTTGCTGGAAGAACAGTAATTCTCAATTGTTTAAATTATTTATAACATTCTTGATAGAATTTTTTTCTGAAAAACACTTTAGTACATTAGTTTACAGTAATACAATCGTACAAAACTTTATTTTCTCATATGAAGAGACAATTTTTGAACAAACGATAAAAAAAAACTGGGTTTATTTTGAAAACATTCCATTGGCCATTCAATAGTTTTATTCAGACGAAATGGCGATAAATAAAGAGAAAATAACCTTTTACACTAAGTTAACTTTGTTTTTTGTATGGAAAATACGGTTCGAACGAAAACAAGAATATGGGTGATAACCTTACAAATTTTATTAGGGATGAAACATAATTTGGCAAACTGTCTTCTCAGAGCCTCACAAATTTTTAAAATCCAGATTTTTTTTAACTGAGATGATTATTGCTGAAATCAGTCATGCCGGTATTTTTCTTAAACCATATTTTGCTGTTTTCATGAAACCGGGAACAATATGTGTTGGGTACCCGGGAAAAACTGGTAATGTAATTTCTTAAAAAAAAAATGTATGAAACTAGCGAGGTCAGTCATTATTTTAAATAATATTATATGACTAAGAAAGATTTCCCTGAATTTGAATGAAATTCCCTGATTTTCCAGATCCAAAAATAAATACCTTGATGCTCCAGATTGTCGACAGACCGCTCTAAGATATACGCCTTCCGTTTCAACGTCCCCGCGCATTTTAACTTCCCCCGGTGAACCTTACCTTTCGGATTGCTTAAAAGTATACCCCAATAAAATTTCGGCACCAACACCAAACGAATCGATTCGAATTAAACAAACGCCTCTATATTTGCCTAACCTACGCCGTGCCGAATACCTTTCGCCGGTAAGCCGGCGGCAAGTGCTCCACCATCGACAGGGGATTCGCTTCCACTACCACCAGCTCGTCGTTTCCCAACCAGCAAGTGCTGACCAGTCGTGAGTACTTCTTGAGCACCTTCAAACTGTACCGCCGGCTGGGAGGGGTGGCACCTTCATCCTCCTCAGTGCCACTGCCCTTGCCGGAGTTTCTCCGCTTGCGCTGCGTGTGATCGGCTTCGCTTTCCTCAAACTGCGACACCACCAAGCTGGAATCGTGCTGCAGAATCATCACGTCATCGTTCCGCGGATCGAACACGATCCCTGTGACGGCTTTGTTCACCGTTACTCCCAGCATGTTCAGCTTCAGATAGGACGAAAAGGTGAACTTGTACTCGCTGAAATCGTACTGGAAGATTTTATGATCGGGAAAGACGGCCGCCAGGATCGGGGAATTTGGCTGGATGGCAATTGCCGTTGGAGGCAGCTTGTACTTGGGCAGGGTGGTCAGCCGTTTCCATTTTCCGAATTTTTCCCGCTTGAATACGACTATCGCACCGCACAGGCTGGCACTAACCAGGAAGTTGTCGTCCTGGGATATAACCGTCAGGTGCACCCTATCGGCGAACCCTGCAGAGAAAATCGGTAAATTAACAAAGGATATAGGTACATAAAAAAATTCTGAAGCTACTCACATTTCCCCGTTTCAATGGTCTGCTTGTGATCGAAATCATCTTCGTTGTTGAAAGCGAAACAGTCAATCGCCCCGCTACGCTTGAATAGGAAAACCCCCTTCGAATCATTTGTGAATTCAACCCTGTAGCAGGGTTCAAACTGTTCCGGTACGGTTCTCTGGCGAATCAACCTTGATTGGCCTCCGCTTCGATATTCGAACCGGAACAGCCGAACGGTTGAATCACTCGAGTAGATGATCCATTTCCCACTCGGAGAAACGGCACATGCCACAATGTGTTCATCCAATTTGCTTCTGATCTGCAAAATCTTTTCGCTTTCGACAGAAGGGGAGCTCAACGTCCACAGTTCCAAATAGTTGACATATTTTAGCAGGAGCATTCGACTCTCCGCTGCCATACTGCTACTTGGAGTTTCCAGGTAGGGCAAATACTTATCCACCGTCAAAGGTGGAAAAGAGCTGACAATCAGCGTACCATCCACGCCACCCGAAATCAGCTTATTGTGGAACATTGTCAACGATTTGACGTCGTGAGTGTGAAATCTCCTGTTCAATGTCCGAACGAAACTATTGACCTTTTCATTGGCCTTCGTGACTTCAACCCTCTGGTACAACCTGATAATCGGTTCCACTCCTCCCACGTAAAGCGTCTTCTCCTGATCATCAATAGCCAAGCACAACACATCGGCTTTTGACACTGGAATGCTATCAATAGCAGTGCCCAGATTTCCATCGAAGAACATTATCTTTCCTCTTGAATCTCCGGAAATTATAGTGAAGTCCTTCAGCACCAGAACGTCCCAAACGATCGTTTCCTTATCTCGACTCGAGCGACCTGTCGTCATCTTGTGAACCGCGTGCCCCTTCTTAATATTCCAAATCCGGACCGCATCCGCCGATCCCGTCACTAAGAAATCTCCACTATAGTCAAACCGAATGCAAACAATCCGTCCTTCCTGCTTATCCAAAATCTTCTCGTAGTTGATCTCATCATTCTCCACACTATAGATATTGATGTAGCCGCCTTCCGTTCCAACGGCCAATTTCTTTTCATCTCTGCTAACATCCAAAGCCCAAGCGGAATTCCCCGTTACCAGAATAGTATTCTTTACCGCCAGCAATCGCAAATCCCATTCAACCAAAGTTCCCGCCAGCCCCACGGAAAACAACCGATCTCCGACCCAGGCCAACGCTTCCACCGAAACCTTCTCCCAGCCGGGGATCGATTTCTCTAGGAACGGTGCCCCTGCCAAGCTCCAGAGTTCGATGGTACCGTCATCCCTAGAAGAAAAAAATCACACGCTTTAACGAAAAGTCGAAATTACCAACACCCATTCTACTAACCTCGCCAGTGCCAGTTTGCTGTTGCTTCTGTTCACAGCGAAACAGTTGATTCCTCGCGGAAGAAGATTGTAAAACTGCACATGGTGCAGCTTGCACTGACCGGGGTCCAGTTTCGATATCATAATTACTATTTAAACAATACGAAACTTTTTAGAACGATAAAAAAAAGTAACAAGCAAGACGAACGCGTGAGTGCAGCAAAACAGTGCGGGCGGCGAGATGAGAGTAAACTGTAAACAAAAACAGCATGGTCCGCGAATGTCGACTTTGTCGCCGATGAGAAGGCAGGGCAGAACTCCGATGTCAAGTGGAATACCCTTCAGAAAAGTTCGCTTTGCTTTTGGCTACACTGAACCAAATCACCCTCCATTTATTTATAATGAAACATCAATCAGTTGCATCCATTTTCAATGTTTCTGAAAACCGTATGACAAAATCAGTCGGATGATTTTCTATTCGGAAACATGTGATGCTCTTTTGATTGGTGGATGAATACATGTTTTTGTATTTCGTTAGCAATAAATTTGTTACATATAATGAAAAACATTCAGTATGGAAACGAATGGAATATCATTTGAGATAGTCCCCGGGTGAGAAAGTAGTCACGTTTACCACTACACCACCGGCGCCGGCTTGTTTGATTGACATTCAGCTAAAGTAAACAAATTGGAAAAAATATATATTTATTCATTTTCATTTTCAAGCAATAGTGTCTAGTGCGAATTTTTAGCATAACCTAATAAATTTAAAATTCAGTTTAATCATTATCATTTCTAAACTTCCTACTACTTTTACCGTATAACTTTAAAGGCTAATTAAATGCAAACCACTTCAATTTGTTATTTACACAGCAATAGCACTATTTCAAGAATAAATCAATTAGATTTAGAAATCTAATTACTGCCTAAACAATTGTAGAGTATACTCTTTTCAATATCTGTGTAGATTTGTTCTCCTCTGTTCAGTTAAAAAATCCTAAATTCGCCTGAGCAAACTGTCAGTCTTCATACGGGGGGTTTACTACAGTAAACTCCGACTCGGTTCGAACACCCAGCGTCCAGTTCTCTTTTACTTACATTTGGCTATTTTGTCTCCCTTACTCTTTCTAATGTTGTCAAAACCAGAGGAGCAAAAACACCCAACACGGGTAGTAAAGTGTGGGTACCCTGGGTAGAACTTGTTTGTCATATTTGAATCGCCTCAAAATCGCGATGCATTAAGGCGTTTTTTTTTCCTCTGTTCGGGACCTAACACCACCGACGAACCGACGTGACAGCTCATAGAAAGTACTCTCAAAATCTTGCCCGAGACGCCATATTTAAAATACGTTAAACACTACCGCCATCTACTCATCCGATCGCGACATATCATGAGCAAGGACACAAACTCACGTTAAATTTATACTGTTTTGGTTTGCGTCTCACCTTGCCCGTTGGACAGATCAAATCGCTCATTTAACAAATCAAATTGGGGACAAACAAAATGCTCCAGTCATGTCGGTTCGTCGCACCACTGCGACCAGTAATTTGATCTATTGTAGTATTATAGCGACCAGTATTGTAGTATTATACTACCCATAATCGCATATCAGTCCCATATTTGCTGGATTTCCTATCCATATGGGACTGATATGCGATTATGAGCAGTATTATCAAAAATAACAATATGCTTTTATCAAGCGACATCGTCGTGATTTTGCGCTGCTAAATTTGTCATTTTTTTATCACACGGGCTATCGTTATTCGTGTTTTTCCGTTCGGTATACTTGTAATATTGTACTGGTTGTTAGTGGAAAGTGTAGTTCGTTACGATAATCGGCCAATTAGAGCATATTTTGTGTTGTGAAAACAGTGAAAACATTATCCAATCGGACATATTGTACACGTATAGCATTGGGCGATCTCGAGAATCCAATTCCTCTTTGCGTATTAGAGCATCTCCACCGCTGTCTCTAAATCACTTTTGGAAACTGAGTCAGCATGACTTCCGCCTGTGACCAATGCGCTAAGCCAGTTAAAGGCGATGAAGAATCCGTCTCCTGCATGGCTTTTTGCGACAGGATGATTCACCTAAAGTGCGGCGGCACAAAGCTGAATAAGGCTTTTCTGAACATTGTCCATACTAGCCCGAACCTGTTTTGGATGTGTAACGAGTGCGCGAAGCTGATGAAATGTGCTCGATTCAAAACTGCCGTCTCGTCGTTTGGCAGTGTGATTAATTCTATCACCGAGAGACAGGAAATCGCACACGCTGAGCTTAGGAAGGAAATGGCTAAGCAAGAACAGCAGATCGCTCAGCTATCAAAACGAATCGCATTGACAACTCCGACAAACTCTGATTTCATGCGTCAACCGCCATTAAAACGGCGCCGCGATGAAGGCTCGCTCACAGGCAAACCACTTGTTGGTGGTTCTAAAGCAGTAACAGGTGACAATGCCTTTACCGAGGTCCTTACTGTCCCTGAACCCACCGAGCTGTTTTGGCTGTACCTTTCTCGTATTCATCCTAGCGTGAAATCGGAATCAATCGAGAAGCTGGTGAAAGGTTGTGTACAGTGCGAAGATCCGATTAAGGTTGTGCCGCTAGTCAAAAAAGGATCCGACATCAGCCGTATGAGCTTCATCTCGTACAAAGTCGGATTGGATCCCAAACTACGCGAAGCTGCTCTTAGATCGGATACATGGCCGAAAGGAATTTTGTTCCGTGAATTTGAAGACGGTTCAAAAAACATGTGGTTGCCTCGTTTGAACACGCCTACCATCACGATCTCTCCTATTACGGGACCTTCCGAGTTCTCAACTCCCATTTCCGGACTAGACCCAGTCTGCTGATTCAGAATTGGATTTTGCGTTGTGAATCGGAGCGCTGTAGACCAGAACGCAATGCCTGTCGCATTATGGGAGACCTCGAACCACTCGATCCAGTCGCGCTAGCTGTTTCCCGCCATCGAAGTCGTTCTATTTCCTGCCATCAGAGTCGTTCTGGCCCTGCGGTCGAGTTCGGTGGTGGGGTCTCCCAAGCATCGTCTTCAGGCAAGTATGCATACATTAGTTACAGTCATTTGCCTGATCAGTTTCCGTGTTCCAGTGCAACGCTTCAAGCACCTGCCGGCTGTTTCCAGTTGAGAAGCACTTCTGATACTGCTCATTCACAACATCCGCTTTACTGTTCGAACAATCCTAATTCATCTCCGGGACGCACAATAGACCGCTCTTTGGAAGCTCCTGGTTACTCCAGCCCAGTCGTGCCGATTCCCGCCAGCGTTCTGCATAGTCGTCCTGGACCTGTGGCTGGATATGAATCAGGAGTCTTCCACCTTGCCTCTACAAGCAAGTACAATCAATATATTAACTATTTACTGCCTGATGTCGATCAAATTTTCAGCAATTCTAACTATGTTAGTCATTGTGATGATGCCTCTGTAACTCCTAATCCTGGAAACCCGGAACGCGCCGTAGAAAGCCCCATGGAAGCCCCCAATCCCTCCGTCTCAGTCCTGCCATCAGCAGCCTTCGTTCATCATAGTCGTTGCGGACCTGCTGTCGGATGCGGAGAGGGGGTCTTCCAACCCACTCACTATGGCGAGTATCCAATGAGACTTGATGATGGTCAGTTATTGCCTGATGTATCTGTGATTTCCAGGGAGAGCAGTCGTTCGATTCCTTGCCGCAAGCAGGACGTCGTGATCTTCTACCAAAACGCCGGTGGAATGAATTCTGATGTTGAAGAATACCGCCTAGCTGTATCGGATCGTTGCTACGATATTATTGTCCTGTGCGAAACGTGGCTCGATTATCGAACGCTTTCCAGTCAAGTCTTCGGTCCTGACTACGAGGTCTTTCGTTGCGATCGGAATCCTAACAACAGCCGTAAATCTACTGGTGGAGGTGTCCTTGTAGCTGTCCGTAGCGGGTTGGAGGCAAAGGCCATCGAGAACGATTCATGGAACAATGTGGAGCAGGTTTGGACAGCCATCAATCTGGGTGATCGCACACTATTTCTATGCGCTCTGTACATTCCACCTGATCGAGTCCGCGACAATGAACTCATCGATACTCACTGTCGGTCAGTTTTCACAGTTGTCGAAAGTTCCACTCCAGTTGATGAGATATTCATTTTTGGTGACTTCAATCTGCCAGGCGTTTCGTGGAGTCCATCTCATAGCGGATTCCTGTATCCAGATCCTGATAGCTCTACATTTCACGCAGGAGCTATTAGCCTTCTCGACAACTACAGCGCAGCGACGCTTTCTCAAATTAACCATGTAGTTAATGAAAATGGTCGTAGTTTGGACCTCTGCTTCGTGAGCACACAGGACAGGGCTCCATCAATTTCCTCGGCTCCTTGTGCACTAACTAAGCTAGTTCCACATCACCCTCCTCTAATTGTCACTGTTGAGGACAAACTCGTGCGTGATTTTGGCGACTATACTGCTACGGTTTCTTATGACTTCCGTAAAGCTGACCACCGTAGCATCATAGATGTATTGTCTAGCATGGTATGGGAGAACATCCTTGATCCAGATGACGTTGAGGCTGCAGCGCAAACCTTTTCACATGTCTTGGCATATGTCATTGACAGACACGTCCCGAAAAGAACTCACCACAAAGTGTCTCACCCTCCCTGGCAAACGAGAGAGCTACGTAGGTTGAAGTCAATCAAGAGAGCAGCATTGAGAAGATTTACGAAGTATCGCACGCTTCCTCTGAAACTACATTATGTGAGGCTGAATCACATGTACCAGCGAGTCAGTCGTGAATGCTTTTCAAGTTTCCAACGAGGCATCCAGCGCAAACTTAAGCTACACCCGAAATCCTTTTGGAACTACGTGAACGAGCAACGCAGGGAATCCGGCCTCCCATCGTCTATGGAATTCAACGGAGAAGTTGCTGCCACTGTTCAGGATATATGCCACCTTTTTTCCGAAAAGTTTTCCAGTGTATTCACTAATGAGACACTAACTGACGACCATATTAACCTGGCTGCCAGGAACGTTCCAGTAAACGATCAAACGCTGGGTGCAATTGATGTTAATGCAGAAATGATTTCTAAGGCCGCGACTCTGCTCAAGTCATCCTTCAATCCTGGACCTGATGGAGTTCCATCTGTATTTTTGAAGAGACATATAGCTAGCTTGTTAATTCCGCTTCTTCGCCTGTTCCGAATGTCTCTCTCAGGTGGCATATTTCCATCTT